ATTTCTTAAATTTTTAGAATCTAACTGAGTTACGTTGTAAGAGGTGTCTTAGTTTGAAATGCAATATCTTCGCCTGGAGATTGTTCCTTGTAATATGGAAGACTTTAACAACTACTAATATTCTTTCGTGTATTTTACAAATCTCTCATTTTTCTCTAGCCATCTGCTTAAAACTGGTTTGATTTTTCTGACTGCTGTACATTATCTTGGATTGCCTAGCTTTAAACTATTTTCTTTCTTACTTTGTTTCTTGTCGAATCAAATTTGAGTGTACGTTTGATGGCATTCATCAACGTCCCCTTGCTGCATTTGAGTAATATTTTCTAGTATTCACCAAGAAACTTCAATTGTTTTTCTCTTCCTTTTTTGTTTAGAAGTGAATGTTATAATTGGCGGTCATAAAAAAATATGCTTTAGTTAATCCCATATTGAACAGTCTTGAATCTTTTGAAAATCGTCTACGTACAGCACTGATTAAATTTAAATTTAGAACTTTTTATATAACATTGATATCAACAATTTGCAAATCTGTTTTATATAGCGTTCCTTTGATATTGCACTTGTAGATATATGATAAAATCCCATTTATAAATACTCAAACACACGAAACTATTGTGTTTTCTTTATTAAACCATTACGATTTACTGCTACCTACAAGATTCAGATATAGCATTAAGAAACTGTTGAAGGAACAGCAACAACGAGTATGAAACATGCTGCAATTAAATCAGGATTTTTCAACTAAAGTTATTTTGGAGGTCGAATGAATTAAAGGATCAATCTCCAGGGAAACTTTGAGCTTCAACTACATATTGAACTCCTGCGTTACTGCAAGTTTCAATAAAATTCTGAATAGATAGGAAGAAGAAAGTTCTAGAACTTTGAAGTTGAGTTTTTTAGTAAGCAGGGGATTTGCGGGCGACGGATTTCACGAGATGACTAATGTTGTTAGAAAAACTTTATAACCTAAGCATTCCTTTTATTAGCATCAATGCACGTAAATACATTGAACTTCACTTGCTATACAGATCACTCTGCAGAAGATAATTTGATTTAGTACCTGACAAATTTTTGTTCGAAGAAATTAAACTTTTATTTTCGGTTCAAAGAATAGCAGCATACTTTGCTGTACTGCAAAAGTCTCCTTCTCAATGTCAGGTGCTGAGTTTTTAGTGCAGTGCAACGCCTTTCAACTTTACGCTGTGCTGGGGTTACTGTTTCGTATCTTTTAGCAGCAACTCCACCTATTAAACCTGCTCCATTCATCTATTATCATTAATTTCAGTAACTTTCATCAGCTCATTTGACTCCAACCTGCTATGATCTATAATCGAAATTTGTGCTTACTATTGTAACATCATGGTGTACTCGTCTAGTACTCTTTTTCTCAATGAGGCACTATTTCCACGTATTAATTCAAATTTGAGGAAAGATGGGTACCACATTCAACCTTGACAGCGTGGATGAGGCGCTGAAGGAGGCTCTCAAGGGCCCAACATATGAAGAAGTACATAGGATTCTTTATGGCAGATCTCATCCGTGAGCTTTCCACTTCTTGCATATCATTTAGCATCAACTTCAAAATTATATTCTAGAGAGCTAGAAATTCCAAAGGAAGCTTTGGCTATCGCTGAGAAAAATAATTTCGACTTGCGATGCTACGAAATCACTGCTGAACCAGAGCAGTTACGAGCTGCAAGGAATGTATGACTTATTAACTAGAAAGGTTTATACACTTTCAATGTACACTTCAGGTTAGAGTTGCTGCTATCCAATTCTCAATTGTTCTACCAACATCAGCTCCAGTTGAGGAACAAAGGAAGGCTATCCATCAAAAAGTGGCCACAATGATTGACGCTGCGGCTGCTGCAGGAGCCAATATCGTCTGCATGCATGAGCTGTGGAGTCAGCATTATGCATCTCGTGATATTAAATTTCGATACCTCTATGAAGGAACAAGCTTATTTAGCTATGCCTTTCGCATTTTGTACTCGCGAACGTCTTCCTTGGACAGAATTTGCTGAATCGGCTGAACATGGACCATCAACAAAGTTTCTT